CATCGTAGCGACATTGAGAAATCTTTCGCGCAATTATACATTATACGCGTCGCAGTTACCTCTTGTTTGCCGAGAACCGTGCTGTTTGCTTATTCCGCGACATAACACGATTGTAAACTCGAATGATCGCCAAACTTCGCCTATGAAAAAGCCCCGTATGTAGGTTTAGTTTAACGCGACTGCATATTGCGGGGAGTTAATCCGCGCGAATGCGTTTCCGAGTCAATATCGGATTGTTGCTTTATCGAGGCGCGTCGCGACGAGAGAAAAGACGGGATCAGTTTTTATGATTCCGCCGAAAACGCATAATTTCTGCAATCGACGCTTTACGATAATGACTTTTATTGACGGCGGCTAACAAATTCGTCGCGGAGGGCAGACTGTGCGAGAATTGGAAGATACGAGAAATAATGAGGAAATAGAGATATTGCGGATATATATAATGTGTCAATAATTTTTTTAATTATAGAGAGAATGAAACACAGGTGTACAAAAAGTACTATTTATTATTAAAATCTTATCGTAAAATTCCCTCGATTCTTAACAATCTCATTATTCTTTTGAATTTGATTTCTAACCATTTTTTGTGAAATTAAATTTTCAATTTTACCATTTTTATGTTTTATTTGCGATTATAAATACAATATCCAATTCGTAATTTCAAATTTATTTTTGTTCATAAATTCTCGCGTTATATAATAACGATGAATAGAACGCTAATTTCAATGTTTCTCATTCCCGGTAGAAACGTATCATAAATTTTATTTTTTTCAGCGCATAGTTTAACAACGGAAAAGCGTTACAAAGTCAACAGAACAACTAATCCATCCCACCGAACTTTCGGTGTGTTGCAATTGTGTACAATCTCCTCTCTTCCTTTTGTCATGGCTCGTAACAGCTCGCTCTTATCAGTAGAATATTGCTTCGAGAGGAAACCTGCGTCGTGCGCGTATTTGTGTGCATGTATGTGTGTGTGTGTGTGTGTGTGTGTGTGTGTGTGCTCTTGATTACTATCGAGCGGACGAGCTTACACGGTATCGTTGCGATCGCATGTAGAAATATTCGTCACCGTCACGTACGCCATTCCGGACAATTTCATGTGCGTCCAAAGGTTTTCGCGACTCGATATTTTTTTTTTGCCTCTCGAACACCGCGATCTATTTTCCATCTCCTCTTTTCTCCGTCTCATTTTGATCGCCTCTTGTTGAGATCACGTTATTAATTTATATTCTTAGGGATTCAAGAAAAACCAGCTATAATAAATTGCCTTAATTAAACTTGGCTTAATCGATCATTAATATTGAAAATCGGAAATTTGTTTTTAGAAAAATAAATATATCGCATATTTTTATTGCGAAGTCTCTATAAATTAATTTGTGGTCATTTTTATTCTAATACCCTTTTTTGATAAACTTTTCTTCTTTAATCTTGTATCTTGATTTAGACTCGCAGAAGATAACGTAGGAAGAATAAAAATTAATTTGGATGCGAAAGAGGTAAAACGTGTTTAAAGGTATGACACTTTACGTGTATCATATCTTTTTGATTACCGAAATTATGATGGTTTCGCTATCGATGACGTTTCGTTTGCAGAAATGAATCAGGGCGCACAACGTAGTACAAGCAATATTCATTATCTTGAGATGATTTTGCGGCTGTTTGTACGCTATTCGTGCGATATTATAAAAAAATCACCATCTTTTTTTTCCTCTCCGTGAGCGCATACTATTTTTGCTCTAAATTTCGGGACTAAATAATGATTGATCGGCGCGGCGTATCACAATGATTATCTACGATTCAATCGTTTTATTCCATTTTAAGATATTCACGTGTTTATCGTATGCGAGCAAGATTTTTTAATATTATTATTATTGGCATAATAATTACTGATTTTTGTACTATAAAAAAACCGATATAATTTCAATTATATTTTGTGCAACATTATAAACATACCATTTAATATATTTTGATATACATTTTCTGAATATTTATGTGACAATTGTAATTAGAAAAAATTCAATGGTTAATGTGTTTTGGAAACTTGCGACGAATTTAATTAGCGAAAAAAGTTCTATTTTTTAGAACTAATTAATTGGCTAATTAATTGACCTCAAAATCTACAGACAAAAGATGGTTTATTAAATCTTGAACTATAATATCTACTATATATCGCTAGAGAATGTATATTTATAAAAAATTCAAGCTAATAAATATTACGAATATAACGCGTGTAATTAAGTAAAATTTTATAGATTCTATGAAAGAGATTTCGTCTGTTTTATTAAAACGAGATTCTATTACGAATTCCGTTTTTCCCTGATGAATGCGTGCGAGAATGAATCATCCCTCTCTCTCTATATGGTCAAGCTGTCGCCGCTACAAAATGGCGTTAACAACGATGGCCGACGATGACGACGAGGTCTCGTGGACATGTCCCGTTCCCTCGCACGTCCCTCGTTATCTCCGTCGCAGTAACATCGCACCTTATCAATAAGCAAACAAACGGACCCCTCCGCAACCTTTTTTCCCCCCGTACTGTGTGTGTAATTTGACCAATCCGTCTGGACAGAATTACATGAAGTTTGGTTTCATTAGATTTTGACCGTCATCTGACCATCTATTTTTATCATCTACAATATAAATACCTTGATTTGAGTCGACACGAAGCGATTTCGTAAACTTTGGTAATTTTTAGGAAATGTTTTGAAAAGATATCATCAGGTAACGATTCGTTTTATCACGGCACTATTGTTGAAAACAATTTCGTCATTGGAAGAATTTACTCTTTTTTTTTTAGAATGCATATTCCTTGCATGTTTCCTATAATACATGTTTCCTTTCTGGATTTAAAATGAGATGAACGTGCGGCTTTTAGGGGAAAAAAAAAAAAAAAAGAGAGACAGAATATAAAGCATGCAGCCCTCACGCGTCACATTTTTACATACTTTTGAAGGACGAGAGAGAAGCGCGGTCGATTCTGGTGGCAATAACAGCATGAAAGAATAACCGCGGAAAGAATCTCGCAACCAGCTGACCAATGAAATACGAGGGTCCGCCCAATCAGTCGCTCCCGCTACTGTCCATCTAAACTGTCTATTGCAAGTTCTCCACATGTGCAACTTGTCTCCCTCTCTTTTTCTCTCTCTCGCCTTTTCGTTCTCCTCGCTACTCATCGACGACGAGGAAAACGCACCTCGCTTCGTTTGGTATCAGGTATAGAAACTCACCGGCGGTTCGTTGCGGTTCCACCACCTTCCTTCGCACATCTCTTTGTGGAACACCACGACGAGCGGTCGAGCCGTCTCTTCTCGCCGTCGTCAGTTGGCTTCTCGCCGGCGGAGGAAGCGTCTCTCCCGAACGATTCTTCTCAGTGATCCTCATCGCGGCTACTTCCGAGTGCATACGCGTCGTGTACATGCCATCGTCGGTTTAGTCCGAGATTAGTGCGTTCGGTGCGTTGCAAGGTGCATCGGGGAACAACGAGAACGCGGTACACGAGTCCCAAATGCGACACGCGTCGAACGAGGTATCGATGGATTTTCATTCTGAATCGTGAAATGTGAAGAAGTATAGAATTAGCGAATAATTATGTTAATCAAGAAATTCGATTTCGGGAATTTAATAAAATTGCGATATTTGAATTATAGATCTTATTTGAGTAAAAGATGTCGATAATATTAAAAGCGTCTTTATATTTTGACTATTCGTTATAAAATGTCAGATAAACTGTAAAGTTTCTTATTTATAGAGAGATGAGAGTCTGAAATGAAGTCTTCAAATAAATTTATTTTCTTTTTATTCGATTCTTAAGAAAGGCATTTGTTTGTTATTCCAATTAAAATATTCCCGCAGTAAATATTTCGATTAAAATTAAATTCACTCAATTAAAACATTCCAATTAAAATATAAACAGTCATCATTCGCTAATTAATTGTCTCTGCTACTATATTTTTAAAAGTTTCACGCTTAATTTTAGAATAATCGACTTCCCATTCACTTCAACGTAGTTTAATATGACTCACCGTGTCGCGTTACTCCGATTTGACGTCCGCGACACCGGGATACAAATTGCGAGATCACCGCCGACGGAATATAGCGGAAGTGGCGCGAGGTCTTTGCCAAAGAAAGAGAGCCGTCGCGTGGTCTCGCGCCGGAAGTCGAAACTTGACATTGCCGGGCGGAAGTGTGACGCAGGACAAACAGTGCCTCTCGCATTTTTCTCGAGACGGACGAGGTGTGTCCGCGGTCCTTTCCCTCTCCTCCACCCTCTTCACTAAGCCCGCCGTGTATGTGTTTCTGCCCGAAACGATCTCGTGTCGCGTGCCGAGGATTCCCCTGAAAGTATGACTAATCGATGGTTCGCCAGGACCATCCTTTAGCCTTTATCCTATTAATCGGATTTGACATAATTTTTTATCTCTTTAGAGAAATGTACTGTTTATGATTAATTTGACGTTGAATATCGACGTTATTATTGAATTATTTATTCTAAATTATTTCTTCTTAAAAAAATTGTTTCCGCGAAAGAGCAAAAGCGCGAAATGCGTATTCAATGTCAATGATTTCTTCGGCAAACTATCCCCGCCGTAATTCCTCCATCAGAACGAAAGTCTTCGGAGGGAAAGCAAAAGTTTGGGTAAAGATCACCGACCTAGACACCAATCTTTTCTGTTATCCGGTTGAAAATCCGATATATGACTTTGCTTGCACCGTTCCGTTATCGCGACGATAACGTTATTCCGATGCCTTCGCGCGCGAGTTTTCGCACGTGGCCGCGTCGCTCTGTCATTAATATTTATTTATATATTATTCGTAATAAATAATAACAATATGTATATTTTAAAGAAATAAAACAGTTTTCAACTATTCTTGACCGCGGAAGTGTCACATATAAATAATAATTCGATAGAAGAGAGTTTGACGTACTTCGATATATATATACGCACGATTAGATATAATTGTATTATTTCTAAACTATGACAACTCCTCGGTTTATTTAGGACGCGATGAAAGAGACGCTAATAAAGCAGGAGATCAAGATGGAATGGGAGGGTCACCACGCGGACGACAGTTCGCCGCAAGTTCCTGGAACGAAAGATCAAGCAGCATCCAGTCCCCAAAGCGTGATAACGACTAGAAGACACGTTAGAACAATCACTACCGCCGGTCACATAACCGAGGGAATCGCCGAAGTCGATCCGGAATCGCCGGACTCCCATTCGGTCACCGGAAATCTCCATCAGCAGAGAAACGAGCGGCAACACGAGCAGGCGCACCAGCGTAATTATCAGGACGAGCAGGCTCATCAGACGCATTACGTGCAGATCTCTCATCCGGCCGAGGTTCAACAACGAGCGGCGGATCAGCAACGCGTCGTTTACGCCACTAGCAACGGCCAGGAGGTACGGGTCGAAGTTTCGGAAAACTCCGAGGCTACCATCACGCTTACGGTCAAGGAACCGCCCAGGTAAGAATAGTCGAGAGATTTCTTCTAGAGCTAAGAGTTCGTTAAAAAAAAAAAAAAAGAAAACGTTTAAATACGAGACCTCTTCAAACGAGAAGATACGAGACTCCCGCGCCGGACGGTACCGAGATAGATCGGTACGCGATGTCTTACCCGGACAGTCACGAGGTACGAAGGGAGAATCAGGTCATCGCCGTACAAATGCCCGATCATCGGCGAGCCCAGCATCAGGCCGGGCATCAGAGATTCAGTCCGCACGACAATCATCAGGCGAGGTATCAGACATCGCCGGTTCTCACCGCCACAACAGAGGACTACGACGCCACGACGATTGCCACGACGATCGCCACGACGATCGTCACGCAACCGGGATCCACGGTCCATCTGGGATCACCCGCGCCGCCGTATTCGCCGCCCATGGACGGCATTCGTTCCGGCCAGCAGCAACCGCAGCAACACCTCGTGCCGACGAACTATTCCGACGCCAGTGGCGTCGTCAAGTACGACCCTCCCGAGTCCGCGGCAGCCGTGGAAACCATCAAAGGCCCGAACACGTACACCACCCTGGAGACAGTCGCCATTCCACCCACGCAAAACGTTCAATATACGCAATATTTGTCGGCCAGCGAGACGTTTCAGCAGGCATCGACTTACAGCTACGCCAAACCGGGAGATCCCGTGATCCTGGCGTATCCATCGTCAACGCATCTCGGATCGAGAATGACTGAGGTAAGAAAAAAAGAGAGAAAGCTCTTCTAAAAGTTTACTATTGTTATTTTAATTACGTATCTCGCGTTAGCTTATATAATTTTAATTATATAAAAATATAAACATTAGAAATGATGATTATATAAAAAGATAAAAACTTCTTATCTTTGCTTTTAAATCAAAGAAAGATACAAGATCCACGTTCCAACAGGTGGAATCACCCGGCAGCGCGTTCATGAAAGGTGATCCGACGTTGACGTCATCCTTGACCTCTACTCGAGCGATTCCACTGCATTACGATCAACCCGGTTCGCCGGGCTCTCAAGTGACGTTGTACAGCGCAGGACCGACGTCGTATCAATACGTGAAGCAACCCTCGGGCGATCCTTACTGGCCAGCCGGTAGCACACCCTCGCCCCCGACTTTGGAATACGTCCCGAGTTATCCGAGCATCACCGCCATCTCCGTCGCCGACGCCACCAACATGCAGCTGTACTCGGGCGGTGGGTACAGCGTCTCCGCGAGCGGGGGCGGACCACCCTCGGCGTGGACCACCCTTCCGCTTCCCGGTACCGACGAGGCCTTCGACAATGCCGTTATGACGACGGAGCCTAAGGAATGCGCCAACTGCGCGGCCAACATGACGCCGTTGTGGAGACGGGACGGTACCGGCCACTATCTTTGCAATGCCTGCGGCCTCTACAGCAAGATCAACGGGGTCAACAGACCACCCATGAGATGCCCCAAGCCGAAGCAGTCCGTCACGCCGGTAAACATTGTGCGAATCTTTATTACTACAATATAACTATATATATATATATATATATGTTTTTTATAAGTAATCTGAGAATCACTCTCCGGGAATAACACTCGAGTTTCGATTTTACACATTTTTATCTGTCTCTTTTGATAATAATCAATTCATCAAGTTTCTTTATATTATTGCAACAGTCTCTGCAGCGCGTATATCAATTAGCGCAACTCAAATAATGCAATGTAGAATTTGCACTTTTGTTTAACTTGGCATTTCAGCGCTCTCGAACTGAAATTTATTTTAGTTTTAAATTTCATCTTTCTACTATTATTTTCTAACATAATATATATACATAAAAATGAATATTATGATATATCGTTAAAAAGTATTAAAAAGAAAGAGTAAAAAACAAGAAATTAAAACATAATCTGCGATTCTCGTTCGAATGCTCGACAGCCGAAATACGTTTGACCATCGCCAAAACGGGGCCACCGATATTTACCCTGATAAATTTCTCGCTCGTGAAACGTACATGACTTCGATATTAAGTAACGTTCTCGCGTTCTCCCTCTCTCTCTCTCTCTCTCTTTCTCTCTCTCTCTCGTTTCCCTCTACCGTTACCAAAGACAGAGAAAAGAGGGATGTTATCTCTCGCCGAGCAAATAATCACTACGGGGACTCACTGGCGGCTGTTGTTTGCTCTAGTTTTCTTGCGCCGAGCACTCCCATTTTCGTATAGTCTCGATTCCTCAAACACCCCGTCGTCAACGACGCAGCATTTCATGTCGTCATCATCCGCCGAGAGCGAGGAATTTTCTCGAGCGGCCTTAAAAATTACGAAAAATATATGCTTTAATCGTAAATTATTTGATGCAATCAAGAGAGAATGCATCGCTCGAGAAATATGTAATTTATTTCTGTAATTTAATGCTTTATTAGATAACGAAGATGATTATTAAATATTTTTTTAAATACGGTATTTTTTCACGCTCTATCCATACACGTTTCCTACAAGAAAGAAAGAGAGAAAGACGGAGAGAGAAGGAAGGGAGAAAGCTAAAATATTTCAAATATGAGATTTGTGTGCTATTCGCTTCTAACGTAAGATTTTTTATAGATATTTTTGCATACGCAATAACTTTAATACGTATGTTTATATGAAAATAGTACTTTTTATACTGCAGACCGGCGTACGGAGGACAGGAGTGCAATGTGCAAATTGCAGAACAAACAATACGACCCTTTGGAGACGAAACAACAATGGCGAGCCAGTTTGCAACGCGTGCGGACTTTATTTCAAGCTGCATAATGTGAGTGACAAAATTATATACGTTTTTTTAAACGGAAATTTTATTAATTTTGTTAATCAACATGTCCAAATATTATCACAAAAACATTCTATAAAAATAAATAATAATAATAAATGGTAATAACGACGCAATAAATAAATAAAAACGCAGCTCTAAAGACAAATTATATTGCTGACGTTGAAGAGCGTAATTTAGAAAGAATAGAATTTTCTTTTCTCTCAATGTATCTGAGTAATATTCTGAGAATTGCTATAACACAATGTTCTCTTCCACTCTTGCGATATAAAAATACCAAGAGAGCAGTGGAGTGAATTACTTTTAATTAATACATCAATCTCGTTACGACTGGTCAGCGTATCGTTATCAGTCTTTTTGCGATCGCTAGTCACGATAACGGTGACTTGATTGTTTTTACACGCACGAGACGTCCCTGTCACGACGTAGAGGAGCGCAGATTATCGCGCGGATCTGTGCAAACGATCGTGACAATAAATTTAATTAAAACAGAGATTGATGTGCGGATGTACTATGAATCGACTGAAAAAATGCGTATTTATTATCGTACATATTTAACCTTTTTCATTTCTATTTTTTTCATCAATCTTAATATAAAATTCTGAAAACTACGAGTGATATTTCTATTTTGGCCCTAATGTAATATATATATTACTAAATAATAATTCTATTATATTTACAAAATTTTTTGTGCATAATTTAAAGTAATTAAAAAATATATAATTATTTATAAATAATCATAGAACTTCGATCTATCTTAAAGCTACAAAACTTATTTTAGGTTTCTTCAAAATTGTCATTTCATTACTTTCTTACGCCAAATTTACAGAACTGAAAAGAGACAACGCGCGCACATAATTAATTTAATTATAGGTGAACAGGCCGTTGAGCATGAAGAAGGAAGGAATACAGACGCGAAAGCGGAAACCAAAGAATCACTCGGGATCTATCACTGGAAATCTACCCGGACCCAGTGGTATCCACAAGACCGAGATGAAGTCCAACCTACTTGGTGAGTCTTCGGTGAGCAAGTCTATTATACAGTTTATTTTCACTAACACTCCCTCTCTCCCATCATCTCAACTTAAAAAATATACGGGGTATATATCTGCGCCCTTGAATAAGCCTCAAAAAAATTCTTTGCAAGCTTAAATTCTCTCTCTCTCTCTCTCTCTCTCTCTCTCTATTTTTATCGTTCAAAAACTATTGACGTTAAACGTCATTTTTTCTATGATATAATAATATCCTATATATTCTCGTTTTTTTTTCGCAAACGTTAATTGGGCAATTAATCGGTTTGATTAGGTGTACCTACAGGTAGAAGTGATCGAGATATTTTGAGGAATATAAATTCGCACGTAAAACTATTTTAATACATTATTAAATAATTATATAAGAGCAATCGCTAGATTTATATGAATATCATATACATTATAAAACCATCATGCAATTATTAGAATGCTAAAAATTATTTTTACCATCGCGATTATGGTTAAATAACAACGATCAATTAGTTTTTTTGTGCGCGGGTGAATATCGTTTCTCAGGCAAAAACGCAAAAGCCGTAATTCCCGTCCTCGTCCATCAGTAGCCTCGATGGCCGACTAAATATACGATCGTGTGTACATGTGATAGCGCGAAGGGGGATCGGGACAGTCCGATGAGAGCACACAATAACCGATAGTGCCTCGGATTGGTCAAAGCTCGAGATGCGCTCTCTGATAGCGACACGTACTTCTCCACTTCGATGGGGATTAAATCGGAGAATACGCGGGGAGAGAGAGTGGAATTTTACCCCCGACATTTCAATATATATATATTTCTCACGTACGTTAGAGCGCAATAAAATGGAAAAATCGCGCAATTAACGTCATTTAACGCGTTTTATCGTGTCTAGAAAATTCTAATTAAAATCATAATCGAGAAAAAAATTTAGCAACTTTGCATGTCCGATTATATTTATATGAAACCATACTTGACGAGCATTATTGTCCGATATAATCTGTCGATTTCGCGGACTCGCAAGAATGACGGATCGTGAATTTTCCACTCGAGCCATGTGCATGCGTTTATCTCTTTCGAGAATCACAACCTTGGGGCACTTCTTACGAGCGACAAAACAAGGATCAAAAGTCGATCAATGGATACAACGAATATTCATCTTGATAAGAACGCAAGTCGATCGCTGAATTTTTACGACCTAAACTGTCAAATAAATAATTAAAGAATAGGAAAATTAAAGTCTCGTAAATTAATAACATGAACATTTAAACGATGTAAAAAACCGTAGAAAGTTATCGTAAAATATTATCAGAAAATTAGTGTGTACATTTTTTGCGATTATTAATGAATTTATATACACTTATTACGCGGTAAAAATTGAGATTAATCAAAATGCAAAATGTGACGAGCATAGTAATCGTGACCGATGTCGTCTCTTTTTTTCTTGTTGACGTTACAGTGGACTCGTTGCAGTTGAACGCAATATACACAAGCGGGGGCGGGGGTGGTGGAGGGGTCGAAGAGCACTGTCTTCCCGTAGGTACACCAACTGGGACGCAATTAGGGCATGCACACTCGCCCCTCGCATTACCTACCGCCGCCGTGTTGAATCGCCAAACAACCCTTACGTAAGTCACGAATCATTAATCTCAATTGTAACGCATGAGATCTATTTTGACACACGTTTATGTGTGTGCGTGTGACGGACTATCGTTAAATTTATTAATATTAATATTAATATTAATAAACTGACTGATAAAACATAAAACTAAGAAAATCGAATAAATTTAAAATAAAAAAAGAAGAAAAATATAAAATTTGTATTTAATAATAAAAATAATTAAAAATTCAAATAGGTATAATTCTATATATATGATTGCTAGATTATATTTCATCGCAAAAATTTAATTCTTTTTTTCTATCCAAGTAAATGAGATAAAATATTAATTTGAAAAAAATTGACAGACATGTCGCGATAATTATTTGTTAATATTTATTTAATTTTCATTCCAGCGTGCCACCACTAGAACCAATCACTAGTCAGTCCAACAGTGACCTTGCCTCGGTTATAACGTCCACTACGACAGCACATTCCGAGAGATCGTAGAAAACCGTTTCGTTCTTACCGACTTGAAAACACTTGCCGACTGCAGCTGCAACAATAAGCTCTGTGGAAAAAAATTCTGGCAAAGGAATATCGACTTTATCATTGCTTATCGGCATCGTCGCTTATCGACAAAAGCGCTGATCGTTAAAATATAGACATCCTATATAAATACAAAAAAATAGCATGTACTTATAAATGTCCGTATTCGTTAGATCATTCAGTGCAATGCTGAGGAAAATCATTTTATCACAATCCGATACGAAAAATGAAACTCAATGCTAAACAATGCTGCACAGTGTCAATGGGAAGTGAAGAAGTTTAGTATCCTAGATGTCTAATTATCGCCAATTTGGGATTAGGAAACAATTATTAAAATTATATATGTGTTCCTATCGCTTATATATTTATATTTATTTAGTCAAGTATTAGTTTTATTTAACAGTCTATATTCCAGCGTTTAAGAATTAAGAAGCGTGGGATTGTATAATCGATGCAGCATTTATTCTATTATTATCTCTTTGCGCTTTATATTAATTATGTCGATTTTATAAAATAACGTTCGCACACGTTCCATATATATATATACAGTCTCCCGATTACCGATATTGTAGACTGCTTCGTCTCAGAAAATACCTGAACTGATACGCTCCCTGTTAGAAGAAGCGAAAGATACTATTATCGTGTCGAGAAAAAGAAATTTATCAACACTTCACGGATTGTGTTAAATTTCAATTAAAGTTAACTTGAGTTTTCTGTTTTATATAAAGACAGAGATTCTAATTCCAACCATACATTTTATTATGTCATTGATTATCTATTTGTACAACAGATGGATTTTTTTCTCGTAAAGGTGACTTGATTTTTTTTCGCCACGTTTACGGCAATGCAACATACAAGACATTCCAAATGATTAATCTGTATTTATCGTGCGATTTGTACTTAATACGTGACACGTGCATGTAACCTGGTTCAGCTCGATATTGTAAATATATATTTACATCGCGTGATCCAAAGATATATATATAATATATAGAGATGTATATTTTGATTTTCTCCAAAGAGTAATATATATATATATGTATAACTAACTATATATTTAGACATTTTCTGCACACAAATGGGTCCTTTTTAAATATAATATTTTTCAAAATGAGATTGCAGATCTCTTTCTCTGATCGACAATATTTACATTGCATGTAATGTAATGATATGTTGAGTATGCAAGTATATTTTGCCACAGTATCATCAAATAGAATCATAAATTATAAACGGATAAACGTAATAGTAAATTCTTAGTTTTCCTCCTTCTTTTTTTAATATTATTTACGCTTTGACATTCCTAATTAAAAAACTGCAAATTGAGGTTCTTTCACAAGAGCAAAGTCTCCGGCAGCAGTTCGTTAAGTTTCCAAAAAAGTTCCCGAAAAGATAATGTCTATCTGTAACTCATCCAGTGATGCGTGACTTACTAACTAAAGCATTTATCGTGCGAATAGAATAAATTATTTAACATTGCACATATCCGTTACACGAGAGTCTAGATAGCAAGTATTTATATCGTCGCAGTAGAAATGCACGAATTAATTCCGAAATTACCGTACATTTTGTTTTATATTAATAATCTGTACATCGTATAATAAATAAGCATGTGAGCTATAAAGCCGAGTACAAAGCGCGCAAATTTCACCGTCGTTAATCAAACTGTGTACCATTCTAACTCGTTTCTCTTCCATCATAGAGGAACGTCACGATAATACTTTTACTACTTCAGATGAAACATATTTTTTATCAATAGACTCTTTACCGAATTTTTACATCCTGTACATTGTAATAAAAAAAAAAAATATAAGAATAAATAAATGTTACTAAAATTCGCGTGGATTTATAATAGAGAATTATTAAAAAATATATTTAATAGTGCTTATGTGCACATATATGTGAGTAAAATTCTTTTTTCGTAACACATGCTAAATAAAATACAATAATTCACACACACACACATAAAGACACGGCGACAATACGCGAACGCGATGGGAGTACGACAAAGGTAGAAAGCTGGACCGCAAGCAGGAAGGTGACAGGCAAAGAGAGAGGCAGAGGGTGCACGAGGGAAACGGGGAGAGGAAGGACGAGAGTCCATCAGCCTAAAGAGCGGCTATCGTGCCGGCTAAGGGCTATTCCATGTTAGCCGTTCTCGCCGGGCTCTTTTTTTTTCCACCTCTTCTTTATTCCCCTCCGGGACTTTTTATACCGTGGCGCAAACCTGGCGCCGCCCTCTCGACGATCCCCTTCCCCGTCGTCGATCCGCCGTTCCGAGAGACACTTCTACCCATCGTTTCCGATCCTGGACTCTTTCGCCCGGTCCTTCTTCCACCGAGAGTTTCTCTCCCAGTCGTCCCCTCCCCTCTTTCTCGCCATCGACTCCCTTTCGTACATTTTTTTTTTCGAAGGATCGTATAATTTATCGTTTTTGGTACGCGTCTCGTTGCGGGTTTCCACGAAGTTCGGCGCGCGGAGGCTGAGTGGGAGAGATGACGATTTATCGTCGGCAGCGATTCGCGAGCGTAAAAAAAAGATGTTCTTCGTGAAAAGTTTAAGATGGGCACGATAATGTCGCGAACGAGCTCTCGTTTTAATCGCTCGTGATTTATGCGAAGTTGCGGGATTACGGGAGAGAAACAGAGGATGAAGATCCACGGATTCATAATTGAGAAATTGGAGATTCTAATGTCTCTCTTCTTGTGTAATAGCCGAGAAGAAAATCATATCGTCGATGTCTTTTCTTCTCGGTTTAGTAAAGACGAGATTAGATGCACGCATCGTTCGCTTTCTCTGTTGTATGTGTGCGTGCATGAGCGATGATATTTATTAGAAATAAATCCCGGTGAAAGCGTATAATAAAGCAAAAATATTTTCGCCGAGGATTGATAACTTCTCGGCTTGAAACAACAAAATAATGTTCAATTCGGCCGCGTTCTTTTTATTATTCGTTCTTCGAACAGATTTCCAAAGATTTTATTCGTGGAAACCGAAAATTCATGTTGAGGCGATATAGTTGTAAGATAAACGTACGAAGGTACGTAAATAGAGATAGGAAATGAAAAAATAATATCAACAAGATATGCACTTCTAACATTAAATGTATATATAAAAAAAAAAAAAACTTGGAGAACTTATCGGCCTTGGAAAATGAATGTTGTAAAATCAATGGAAGAATAAAAAATCGCGGATTTCTTCGATGAACTACCGCGATATCAACGAGTCACCTCATTGGTCGCGCAATCAGATAGCAGTTATGCAGAGAGATTACACGATCATTATATTTTTCATTCGCACATGCGACGAATGGTACAAGACGTTACAAGACGCATTATCATCCGATTGATGGAACAATGTATGCATTATGCAAGAGATATGAATCACGATGCATCGCGGATGCGCTCGTGGAGGAAGAGACAACTGCAAAAACACGCTGTATAATGGATGTTAAATTATATGATTGATGATAAATACACGACCCGTTATCAGCGAGAGGAAGAAGTGAAAGATGCAAAATAGTACTTTCGTAACCTTGATTTTTGATAGAAATTTGTATTTAGACTTTTCCAACTGATCGTTGGAACTTGTATTTGTAAATGAAAATTATATAGAATATAAGCAGAAAAAATTGCAATAAATAAATAAAATATCATCCTTTTTTTATCTACATGTAAACATTTTAAAGATATTGAAATTTTTTTAATATTAATAAAAATAAATAAACATTTACAATGCATTTGTAATATAATGCTAATAATAATTATCTATAAATTTTAAAATTATTATATAATGTACTTATGCATTTGACAGCTTCGAAATCTAATTCCAAGCATTCCATACCTATATGGACCATATAGATATATCTATATGGACTCTTGATGTTTATGTAGAAGAGTGTAATCTGGTATGTATAATATACTTATGTGCGTGGACTCGCGTGTATAAGGATGGCGCCAACATTTCGACGTCGAGAGAGCATCTTGTAGTCGGGTATTCTACGATGTTCGATCGTAGTTTGGTTCAGGACACGCTGTCGGTCTACAAGCGTGTATAGGTATCTGCATATATGTATATAGGACGCGACGCATACAAATCCCGATCCACTAAAACGAGAACTGCAGGAATGCATGTTTCTTTATTTGCCTTGCAAAAAGAAAACGGTAAAATAAATTGTTAGTGAAATACAAATAAACTTTAGTCTGGAAAATGATTTGTTCGTTTATCACGTTTACAAGAATCAACGTAAAATGATATGTCGCGATACAGCGATGATTGACCACTCTTGCAAAATGTTCTTCCAGCATTATTTTAAACATTGTTAAACTTTATATAAATATTTATTATTTATTATTACAATTTTATTGTAAAACCCCCGCAATTTTTAGCAATCTTATTATTTGATGAATTTAGGGAAAGGTTCCTATAATTATGTAGTATTTTTATCGTAAAATAATAGAAACATTATTACTATTCTTCTAGTAGTTTTATTTTATATTGTTTCGAGAGATTCTGCCCAAGAATCCTTCGTAATTAAAATTATCATTGTCCATTAACATTTTATACGCGAAGCATGGCTAACAAATTATTTTATGCTCGCATTATATTCTACAGTTCTTTCATAATTTTTTCCTCCGACAAAATGGTTGCTAGAATGCGAATATTAAAAGCAAAACTGGAAAGTTAAAAAAAAATGAAAGATGTGAAAAAATAATCTGTTCGTAATACAATTCGTCTTATAATTTTGAATATAAATGTTAGATCTTCTTAGTTAATAATAAAAATTTTATCTAAACAAAAAATATATTACTATCGTCATACTATAAATATATTACAAATATTACACACTCTCATTTTAAGCTATATAAATTATTTTGTGTAATCTCGAATCTCTTTTCTCGAGCAACCACAGTCTAATAATAAATAACGATAAGTTTATTATACGAGGCCGTCGTTTCATCCCGTTTATCGCGCTATTATTGTTTTAATTTATTCAGCACGAACTTTGTTATAATTACCATGTTATCGGTGCGATTGTTGACCGACGCACTTAGACACGCAATCCATTGTTGAAAAAAAATGGCAATTTATTTTTTTTCCCTCATTCTTTTTGAAATATATACGATCAGCACCGTCGCGGCGCGTGCGATGATTGGCAAACGTCGACCATTTTGCGACTTCAAGGGCGAAGGGATATCTTCATCTTTGGTATTCGTGTCGTTTAGCCATTTTCGTGTTGCCGTTCGTGCTGCATCGCCGTAGAAGTTTCGTTCGGGTCATTAAACTGACAAATCGTCCGTTGCAATGGCAACTTTAATTCCGATCGATTGTTTAAGTAAAAAGCTGATATCAATGACGCTTCCTCGGAAACTCGTTTTCGGTTGATGCGCCGACTGATATATAGTAAACTTAATTCATTCTATAATGATTCACGCACAAAAATTGATCTGCATATAATAAGTTATTTATTAAATCGATATATTTCCGAAAAAATTAATATTTTCTTTCTGTGAAATGTGATATAATAGACGTTCAATTAATTTAAAATAATAATTGAAATATACCTTTGAAAGAACTTCAAAGTGTCACTTCAAATAAAATAATTACAATAGATAATGCAATTTATACAAAACGTATTAAAATTCTTTTTAATTTATCTATAGATCCCACAGGATTAATTAAAGACGAAGTGGCGACTGATAAAATTTCAAAGCATTGATAGAACTTTCGAATGACAAGCGATTAGAGATATTTTAAAATTTTCACAATAAATTTAATTTCAAGAAACAGAACAAATCATCAAGCCATTCTTTCCCTTTTTTAAAATAAAATATTTATTTTAAATTTCTCGTCGTTAATTGCGACTACAGGTGTAAATTTAATTTTTGTCACACAAGTTTATAATAAGACACAATATATCGCGTTTCTGTCTTCGGTAAAAATCTATATGACATGTACTTATAAAATTATTCTGAAAGCGAATCGCGGGTCCGCTCAGACGTCAAGTTGGCTGCACAAGCCGCCATTCCGTCGGCGAACTCCGCGGCGCTGTCGCGAATGGCTGCCTCTAATGATCGCCTCAAGTTTGCCTTAGGGATCACCAAGGACGGAATACGTATGTACAGATACGCAATGTAGAACACGGTCGCGATGACATATTGTATCTGCTTGTCGGCGCAAATTGGCAGTAACGATAGGATCAAGGACTCCCCCCAGCATCGTTTTAGTTTCCGATACTTTACTTTAGTAAATATTCTTTTTTTTTAGATTTGCAGCCAGTGCTAATAGATATATGTTGAATGTTCAAAGTAATGTAAATTATATTAAACATTCATGCCGGTATAAAGTGATTATCATGAGTGTAATTATTTCGCGAAACGTGGATATATTTCATCGAGCCCATGACGTTACGGAGATAAAAAGCAATATTATATGTGTGACAATGGTTGTAACTCTTCGAAACTCTTACACTTTTTGATAAACTGTAACGATATGTAATACCATGATATATTAGTCTGAATAATATCGCACATTACGCGTTATATTTACGAAAATGATAACACTTGACTTTACGATTCTATGCCATGCAATTTTATGGCAAACTTAATATCGCTAAAATTATCAAATTGCATATAATTATAAATTTTAAGCTTCATTTCCTATCTTCCAATTCCGTTGAAATAATTTAAAAAAAAATTCCACGAGAAAAACTGAGCGTGATGGCAAAACATCTTCCATTATTCTCATTTCAATCTCCCTAATCGTAGTATTAGTGTATCTTACAGTAATCTAATAATTTAGTTGAAAAACTTTAGAACATTAATCTATTAGATTGATGCAAAAAGTTCGTCGTCATTAACCTTTGTTTTAAATAAAGTTAAGAGGGTTAAAAAAATTCTTTTTAAATGGAAAAAAAATGTGTCTCACAGCCAACTATCTTAATTAACAAGATTATTATTTCGTGAAAGCGTTTAATTTCTCTCGTTCTTCGACTTTATTTGACAAGTACGATAAATTTCTTGCATTTGCCTGATAAATTTGATTTATATATATATTTAACGATAAGAGATTGATTTTTATAAGGTTTTGAAAAAATATTTTATAGATGAATATTTTATAAACGAACTCTTCAATCGCGCTATAATTGATCCGCAAAGAACCGAAGTAAACGTAACGAGAAGCCATTTTATCATCAATTATTATTAATTATTAACGTTTATCACGCGTCGCGAAGAAGAGATGCAATTTCTTAGCGAAAAATGGCTTCTTATAATCGAGCTTGCGCGGTTCGATCGTTGGGGGACATTTAATCGCGCCGCTCCCGCCAAAATGCAATCCGGCCGCACATGTTTATCGTTTGTAAGAGTCGCTCGTACCGCGTTTTTTTGTAAATTAAACCACTACTATCGCGCTGTACGCGCACTTCTCGATAAACCTGATGATGCATTCATTAACTTTCAACGAGCGGCGCTCCAACGCAATGATAAGGCCACGTTCTTGTCCGAACGTGGTCCGATAGTAATACGCGCATCCACGATAACGGAGCGATGACAAAGACGCAGGCATATGTTGTTAGCCACGGCATCGTGGATTTTGCGAAAAAAACCGAAACCGCCCGACGAAGGAATATCCCTTTATTAACGTCGATAATAGATAGTAAAGAGTAACGAATGAGAGAAAAAGAGAGAGAGAGAGACATCATCGGATAATAAATTTATTCCGCGATGCGTCAAATGTTAAAGATGTTCCGTTTCATTTTAGCAATGCGATTCTAATCGTCTTATTTTCTTTTGACCTTAAGAAATAAAAAAAAAAAACCATGTTTTTTTAGTTAACTCAGCAAAGTCTCAACTTCTGCACATATTCTCAATATTAATATCTAATTCTTCGAGCTTTTCTAAGAGAAATGCTTTCTTGAATCCTTTCTCATCATCACGCTTCCCTTCTATTCTCGCCGTAATGTTTTTCTGCCATTCGCAGAAACCCCATCTCGATGCGCCGAGAGTCGTCTCCACTTTGCGTCGCTTCATTCCGCGCTTTATTTCCTTCGCCCCCTTCCGTCACTCGGACTCCGGGATCGC